AATTTTAAAGCACAGGCTCTCACAAAATTCTAGGAAACTCATCTCAGACATAATGGCTGCATTACTGTTGCTATTGCCAAATATAATTACATTCACTGGTATACTATGTAGTGTTATCTGTAATCATTATGTAAAGTCATTTTTACATAATCCCTTTCCTGTGATGGTCCTGCTAATAGTTACAGGGTTTATAATAATCTGTCTCTGATCCCTCCCTTCTAAATTGATCGGAGGAGAGAATCTAAATGGGATTGAATTGGCTGGAGCAGGTCAAAGGTAGACTCATAATACATTAGCATCCTTCTCTTGATCTTTAAAAGCTGCTGCCTTTAAATAGACTGAAGGATTGGAAATCTCCAAGTCGCATGCAGAGATAGCCAGGGAGAATGAGTCTGAGCATTGCTCAAATAATAATCTCAGTCTTCATTTCTACAACTCTGCAAGAATTTTGCAAGCACGATGCTGCTTACCTACCTGTTCTTGCTTGTTTCTGCAGAACATACTTCTCAGCCCCAAAAATGTTTTAGAGATGATGAGGAACCACAGGAAGATCTTGACTTTTGCAGAAACCAGGGTGTTTGTAGTTGTGTACACCAAAAGGCAGAGTAATCAAACTTGCAGCCTCAATGTTTCTTTCAGTATGCCTAAAATAATGAATTTTGCATACATACTTCTTGGGCTTAAACATAGCCCCCATATGAATTTAGGAAACATAAAAACATGTAGGGCTAGCTTGCATTTCACAAGACTGCTACTATCATAACTTCACAGATATGAACATGCTGCTGCCTTTGCCATCCACTGCTCTTTATCCCACCTTCTGCTAACACAAGACACTGAAAACCACAGCTGAAATGCTTTAGTTTCCTTTTCCATTGCCTTTACTCATCATGCTCTCACAAATTCCTACTGGTCTGAAAATTTCCATGCATTATTTCAATGCATATATGCTACAGATAAACATCATCGTACATGTAAAAATCACACTGCACTAGACTCTCAACTACAGCAGCTGGAGCCCAAGTCACATCTTCCCTTCTGCTGACTTTATACTACTGAGGAGTGATAACAAACAGCTGTGTTTGCCAACACTTTTACAAGACTACAGCTTCCTGCTTAGTGAAGATCAGGCAAAACTCTGAGATCTCGGTGGCTTATCTCAGTTTAGAAACCCATTTAAGCTAAAGAAATAAGCTAAATAAAGCTTAAAGAAAATAAAGAAATGCCATTTTGCACCTGTTTCTAAGAAAACAAAAGAAACGACTGTAACTGAAAATAACAGTGGCTCACCTCTACAAAGGTATTTAGATACCTAACAAGTACTGAAATAACTCAGTGTTTCTTTGGTCTAAAAAGTGACCGTCAATTCTGAAAATGTAAGTTAGATACCTAAATAACTTTGAGAACAGTTTTCATGGGATTTCTCTTGGTTTCCTCACCACCTCCCTGTCCTCTAACATTCAAGGCGTCATTTTGAACAAAACCTGGTTTGGAACAGTGGAAACAGCTGCCCTCTCAGTGAAGACCGGCATTTTTCACGCCAGAGCAGGGCTGAACTGCGCTCCTGTCGAGGACTTATCACTACGTGTAGCAGACACAATCGGAGCTAAAATAGGGCAGCTTCAAAGCAATAGACACCTAATATATCCTCTGTTGTGGTTTTCTTGAATGACATTCAGTCACATTCAGTGTTGAGTGAATCACAAGATAGATCTTTAGATAAATACTTGCAAAAATACATGAACTTTACTATTATTAGCATCCAGGTGTCATCTGATTTCAGTATAGTAAATATTTCCCATGTAATGGTTAGGAGAAAGTTCTCTCATCCCTTTAGGAAAACAGGGCACAGGTCATCCTTAAACTTACTAGCTGTGTGTTCATTCTGTATTTGTCCTTCTTCATTTAACGCTCTACTTTTCCTTTCAAAATAAAGCTTATTGATTCTGGGCTCCAATATTACTCAAGATCAATTTCTAGATCCTCTGGCTGGTTAGCTATGTGCATTTCTCCTATATGTGGAATGAGAAGGATGTCATTCCACTTGAGAATTAAGGAGAACTGGGACTTAGTCCCTGATGAAGCTTCTCTCACCTTTCCAATTTGGCTTGAGAACAAGGGTTGTGATCATCAGTTCAATACCCAACTGCAACCTAACTGCAATTATGAATCTTTTGTAACCATTCTATTTATTTTTCAGCTTTTATAGGATGAAACACAGCTAGATGTACCTTCATTTCAGACAAGAAAGAAAGAAAAGGAACTGTTTTTCATACTTGCAATATTCCCATGTCTAAGTTCGCAAAATAGAAAAGTTACGTCTCATCTGCAGTAACTTAAAAATATTTCAGAGGACAAGAGTGAAAATCTTGAGACTTTTTTTTCATTATTCATAACGTATTATGCACAGTGGGGCAAAATCAGAAAGCAGTGGAGAAATGGCTGCATATGTAGAGTACTCCAGAGTGTTTAACAGCTACTTGTTGCGGCTGCTTGTGGAAAGCTTGTTGAAACATGTATTTCCCTCTGCTCCTTTATGCCATTTGGGCTTTGCATGAAGACACGGAAGTTATTTTTAAAAATGCTGATGTTGTGATTAAGGGCAAAGTAGTAACAAGGGGAGAGATTATGCGTAATTTGATATGGAAACTAGAAAGGATATAAATTTGGAATTGTGTACATTGTCTTGTTACTGATCTGAAGAAAAAACAGCTACTAGTATTTTTTTTTTTTTTTTGGTCTCAAGAGCTAGTTCATTAGCAGAATAGCATCTCTTCTTGGCTGTAAATGCTTTATCAGCTTATTGTGTGGCCAAACAGCCCTAGCAACAGAATTCAAGAAACAATAACCATTAATTGGTGAAACCCTATCCTGCCACATACTTACAACATACTCTTTTAATTAATACAAATTTGTTTAATAGTAAACTCAGAAATTTTCTTTGGTTTTGCTAGCAAAAAAGCACTCTGCGAAGCACATACACTTTGCATGTAGTCAGGTGTGTAGAAAAGGGGATATTGTTTCCTGAAGTGAAATCCCCGACTACAACTATTGATTCTTTCCATTCCTTTGACTAATGGAGCAGCTGGAATCCAGTAAAGTAGTCAATAGCAAATCATTCTTTCTGAGCTTCCTATTGTGAATGCAGTTGGTATTGGATTTAACTCTGAGGTGTTGGATACATTTACAGCAAAAACCGTTTTAATGGAATGTGGAGGACTAGGAAGGAGTACAATACTTGCATAACCAAAGTTTTCAGGTGTATAGTAAGGGCATAGCATAATACTAGATTTAGCAGTGTATTTAGCAGTAGTTAAAACAAATTATAACTCTAATAGGCCAAAGTGATACTTCAAAATCTTTAGTCACAAGAACCATAAAATGAAGCTGCTCGCATTTCTCCAAGTTCTCTCTCATACTGACTCTTCAGACACTGCAGCAGAGCTCCAAACACTTCTATACAGTGTATGTCCTGCTTGTTGTGGGACATGGCTTTGATTGCTTAATCTATGCTGTACGCTCTAATTTTAATGGCTGATGAATGCTCATACACTTACTAAGCAAGGGAGGCAGCCAATTCACGTTGACTTCGCAATGGGAATCCAGAAATGTCAAGACTTCTCCTCTAGCCAGCGAGGCTCCTAGCAGTCTGGTCCGAATGAGCCCTTCTCGTTTCTTGGTACGTACAATCCTCACTTTGGCAAAACGGACCATGTATTCCTCCAGCTTCTCTTTTAAATGTTCTAGAAAGAAGGGCAAAAAAAGTGTCAGTGATGCCAGGCCTGGAGGAGCCAACAGAAGGACAGGTTGGCATACAACCTGCAAGCAGTGTATCTAATTCCATCTCTTTTCACTTCAAGTCCTCCAAAATTTGCCACAAATCCTCCCTGTGACGGTTCAGAAAGTGCAAATGTTCTCTGTTTTATCACACAGAGGAAGACACTGACACTCCAGACCTTTTACTGCAGTTGCTACTGGCAACCTGCCATGCACGATACAATCATGGCCAAAACAACTGCAGGATATTCATCCATCCTCTGGTTCCTGCAGCCCAAGGCCAGATAAACATTCTGGCATGTCATTTTATAAACAGTGTCCTTTCCAAGTAGGTTTCCTATATCAACTAATTATGAAGAACTATGCATGGAAATAAATTTTTAAAAAGTAAGCATTAACTAGCATGATTAGATTGTTTTTGTAATGGTAAGGGAAACAGACATGAGGGAAGATCTTAATAGTTGGATACCAGCATGAAGCACATGGACAGCTGACTTCCTAATAACATTAAGCTGCAAATGCAGAGTAGCTGATAGGTTCTCTTATCTGCATAATCTGGCCATGTTTGTAGCACAAAACAGCATCTTTGGGAACACTTTTTCTTCTGACTAGAAACACACTCTAAGAATCATAAAAAAGCCCCTAACAACAAGAAACACCCTATGGTTTGCCTCTTCCTAAATACATCTACAACAGAAATCCTGATCTTTTGCCTTTGATATAACAACTCAGCTTCTCAGACTCATTACTTTGGAAAAAACCTGTTAATTACTTTTGGCAAGGAAAGAGGGAGAGAAAAGCTTAGTCTCCAATAATTGAAACTGGTGATAAGCCACGCTTAGTGATGCTAGGAGTTGCAAGCTAAGTCTCACTGAAATGGGTTTGCCAGGTTATGATTGCTTCTTATAGCAGCTACTAATGCTTCAGGCTTTAGTATGGTCAGTAAAGGCCTCGATCCAGACCTTACATCACCATGCATTGCAAAGACTTTGCTATGGACTACTGGAAAGGACTACCATTTAGTAGTCCCCTGGAGCATATAAGGCTGACACATAGATTAAAGGCAACAAGCAAGCAAGTCACAGTGCAGAGAATAAAGGAACTTGTGTTAAAATAAAATCAAGCACTGCTGAAATAGAGCTCCCTACACATGCTCTTTCTTGTCTCTGCTCCTTTTCTTCCCAGTTGACCAACACACAAGATGTCCCAAATCTATCTGCAGATTAGGAAGGAGTAGAAACACTGGTGTGTAGTTATGTGTACTTAGTGGGTGAGTACTGCATGGGATGCTTCTCTGTACTGATGAATCCTGATGTTACACTGACACAGAAGAGGGAGCAGCCTGAGACCTCGGAACATCAGCCTGAAGGATTACAGAACAGGTTGGGGGGTTTGGGAGGAGAAATTCAACACTTCGGAGACCTGAGGAGAGCGCTTTTTGTTCATAGTACTACCTGGGAGAAGTATTAGATCAAGTGAGGAATGACAAGTCTAAGACAAAAAAAAATAAAGAATGACATTCAGATAAACATCAAACGTTTTCATCTTCTACTCTGTGTTTGACTGTAGAATACACATTCAACTTCTGAAATAAGAGGAAAAGAGGTATCCCTTTTTTCATCCCATTTTGCTACTTACGTACTCAATAAAAACCCAACGCAATCCCCCAACAGTCACAATGACAACAGATGTACTGTGTCTTTGAATGGTTGTTGTTGTATGACCAACCATATTGACGGGACAAGGGCAGTGTGCCACTCTGACTCATTTTAGATACCAGCTACAATTCAGTATCATGACTGAACTGAGGTTAAATCAAGTCTTGAACCATTTTTTGCTCACGTGCAAAACTGTCTAAAGTGTATATTTATCGAACTGTTTTCCTGTTCTTATGAGCTCCATTGAGGCTATTCTCATAGCACAGGAACATAGAAGAAGGGAAATAGACCTTAAAAACAAAGATACAAAGACCTTGCAGGTAATACAAGAAAGTCTGTTAGGGCTGTCAATCTGGATTTTTTTCTATGCTGTAAATTGTATCATCTTATAGCCATGAAAAATGAAACAGTTTCAAAGCGACAGGATATTACATATTTCCAAAGTAAATCAAACCTAACCTGTTAGGTACCATAGCTTTTGTTAGTCCTTAGACACTGGAAATTTCCTGTAGTTCTCTAAGGTCATCTAACCTTTTTCCTCTGACCTCTTCCACCCACAGGCCCTAAGTTTCTTTGCAATGAATAATGCATAGCAACCCTGCACCAAGAGCAAGCCATATTGCTGCACACTGTACAGACAATTAGTAAAAAGATTCAGGTTACTCAGCCTGAACACAGATATCCAACTATGGGGAGCAAGCATTAACATCCTGACTACAGTGCAAATCCTCCATCTTCACCCGCCTGCCCTCAGAGATGGGTTCACCAAGACTTGCTGATCAGAGGATCCTACTACATAGCTCTCAATTTGGCCATGTGTCAGATACGATTGCTTCACTGTTCCCTGTGAGCTGCTTCTAGGAGTTTTCCTCTCTGTATGTGAGGGCACCTACCAAGGAAGTACCTAAACTCTCTGATGGAGAGAGGCAGGAGCCTTACTTTGACAACCTAAGTTATTTGTGGAGTTGTAAGCTCTCTGTTGCCTGTATGGAAATGTAAAGCACACCTGAATTGGACCTTCGGTAGTTAGGTGTCACAAGGGCTAAGGTAAGGCCCTTGCAATAGACAGTTTGAATATGGCCACCAGTGATGCTTAAATGAACTAATACAAACACACTCTTTTCATGCATTCTGATTGTTTTCACTTGTCTTGGGCCAAATAAACTCAATGAAATTCAGTCTCATACAAAGGCCTTAATTTAATTCCTTTCACATCTTGCAATGAGTGAATTCTAAAAGCTGAGTGCCTATCTCTTCAGGAATACACTTCAGGGACAGATGATGTAAACTATCATATTATGATACATTCTTTTCTGTGCTTCTATCAAATGCTAAATAACAAAAGAGCTGAATAATATAATTTGATTGTCATCAGTTGTATTGGAGATTGAACTCCATGAAATCAATGGTAGTTTGTATTGTTCTTTCATTGCTTCAGGCTCCTTGTAAACTCAGGAAAAGAGGTGCCTCAAATTTTAAATATTTTAATTTTTTTTTTGGCCAGAATAATATCTGAAATTCTGTGAAACAAACAAGAGCTCTCTATACTGCCTTCCTCTCTCTCCCTCAAGATAGCTCTTCACACATTTCAGACAGCGTGTCATCTGATTTGCGAAGAACTGCATTAAAACATTCAGCACATCTTTTAATGCCAGAATTACATAGCCCAAAATTGTTTTCATCTACTCAATTAGTCCCATGATTGAATAATTTTATTATTTTCTCCTTGTCGCTCAAAGAACAACTCACAAAAAAGAAGTATACAAACAAAATTTTCATGTCTTGTTCACACAGAACTCTAAATGCATCCTCATTTAGACATATTTGGAAGTAATCAGGAAGAAAACAGAAGTAGTAAGTGTTAATTAGTTAGACAAGTGACATAAAAAGATCATGTCTACACACAAATCAAAGTATATGGATTACTAGAGCTACATAGGTACCTCGATTTGTTAAAACAGCTACATGCTAGTAATATCCTAACAGTAAGTCATGACATAGACTGATGCCAGTAACAATACCTACCATATCTTTAGTTCTGAGATTTGGCCAAGATGACAGTTTGGGAATTTATTTAAGAAAAATTCTCAATAACTACAAAAACATCATGAAGTATTTAAGTTCAATGACCAAATCCAATATGATTGTAAAAATGAAAATATCTTAAAGCGGAAGGAAAAAAACCCCTTTTTGATCCATAAGTAATGATTTTTTTCAACTTAAATCAATATGGAAGCGCTTTCATATTGTATTTTCCCCAGCAATGTCTTGTAGCATTATCTGCTTCAAATCTTACCAATCTCTAAAAGCATACACAAACACAGAGTAACAGCCAGAGACATTAGAACAGTAGTGGTTTTAAAGAAAATTGTAGTATTTTCTACTATTTATATAAGTAGTAAAAACACATCTTCCATGTTGAACCACTCATTAAAGCCACTCCTGCATTAATCAATACACTGGTATTATCATAGGTGAGACTCTTTAAAGCAAAAAAGCAGTTCTGCAGGACCTGCAGTCAGCAGCTGACTTTAAAGGCTAGCTACTTAATAAAAGAGCCCATGTTTGAGCCAGGGGTTGTGAAGACACAGATGCTCTGACAAAGATAATACCTGGGAATCTCACGGCTCAAGTGTTGCTTAAAACAGACTAGACAAGACTTCAGCATTCTCCATATAGGAATAATTATGATTAACAAATTAAACAATCTAAGTACTTGTGATTACTAACAGATTTTGATTTTTCTTTAACCTTGTCTTTTCCCAAAAATATCAAAATAAACTGCCCTTTTTCACAGAACTCTATACATTTCCTTCACAGAAAACAAATGATATTTTATTTTCTATAGTACAACTGCATTTTCTCACAGTTCCCAATTATTGTGTTGCTCATATTATCTCCAGAAGAAGCATCTTACACACAAAACCTATATATTACACATACACATTTAGAAGCAGGTAAACTCACGTGCTCAAGTAAACATGCATCAATCAATATCAGAGCAAAACTAATTCTGAAGAAAATCTCTGAAAGAAATTATAACGTGGTGCGTAAAACAGAAGGCAACCTGCAATAAAAAGGCCTTTAAATGTCCAAGGGACAAAGCATTCTCCCCATTTATTAGCAAAGGAAACAGTTCAAGCAAACTTGCCATGGCAATAAAACAGGGAGGTAGGATGCTTTCATTTATATGCTGTAATACTACACAAATTTCACTTTCACAGGCGTGAGAGAGAACCCAGTATTTAAATTCTACAGTGATCTATAAATGGTGCACTCTGGATATAAAGAAGCCAAAGCCCCTGTTACTAGATATGGGGAGTAAATGTCTAATTTGTAATTTAAAAGAAAACACATCACTCTTTTCTTCACAGTGTTGATCAAATGAATCCATGAATCATAGGTTTGCCACGTGCCAGGCACCTGTCAGGGCAAGAGCTGGCACAAGAGGTGACAAATAAAGAAGAATGCATGGGCAGGAGGTTTACAGGCTGTCATGCTATGACAAGTGATGATAAAAGGAAGCATTATGTCTCTTCCAGTGATAGCCTGTAAACAAATTCTCCATTGTAATTGTTTTGTGTGGCATTCTCTGTCTTTATTTAAAGTCTGGAGAAGTTTTTCTAAAAGAATAGCAAAGACACAATTGCCTGGTCATAGCAATTAAAGATCTACTCAAGCAGAGTACCCAGTTACTTAAACTGGTGCCCAGAAATAAATTGGAAATCAAGGCTGCCTTTTGTCAGGAAAAAAATAATCATAGTAGTGAAAAGCAGAATTGCAATTCTTTCCTGTTGGGATGCATACAGGGAATATTTCATTATCACACTGGTACCCTGTGGCAACACATGCTACATGACAAGAAATGTTCCTCCAAGGTTATTGAGAGAGTGTTAAGAGAGAATTAAAAGGTGATGTGAAAGTTAGAGTTGGTCTTCAGGACTTGCTGGACTGCAGCATGGACTGTGAAAGAGGAAGGAAAATACAAAGAAAATAAAGCCTTTTGTTAAGCCCCTCTTCTGGGCAGCCAGGCACGTCCATCCCAAATCTGGGCCTGTAACACAGCGTACCCTCTGCACCTCTGTAGCACCTCTAATTTCTGTCCCAAAATACTGACAACCTCTGTTACAGTATCATTGACCTGCAATTTATCAAATAATTAAGAACATCAACAGAGCCAGCTAAATGCCCTGATAAACAATTGAAATAAATCTGTTTCTTTTTAACTTTAATTGACTGACAAGTATGTCATTTGAGCTGTTATGCTATTCCCAACACTAGCCATATAAAAATAGTTCCAAGAAAAACTTACAGTAGTAGAAAATGTGTGCTGGCCTCTCCCATTACCTCAGCACAGGCATATGGGAGGAAGCAACATGGCCAAAACAGTAGTAGTCTGTGATCTTATGTCAGTAAAATAACCTGCAAGTGACCACTTCAGTAGGTGAAAATCAAAGCAGTCAAATGGCTGTTTCAACATGCAACAATAATCAGGCCAACTCAGGAAGATTTTTTAAACCTTTTTTTCTCTCCAGCCAGCAGTAGAGAGCTTTATGCCCAATACGCACAGAAAATTCTGCAAGTACATTTATGCAACATCCATGGCTCTCACTGTGAAAAGGACTTCTATCACTTTATGTCCTTTTCTGCAAGGCAGGATTATCTTCTCAGGTAAAATTAGCAAGAATACCCTCCATTCCTTTCCTGAGGCCTTGAGTATACATTTTTCCTGGAACACCTCATCTTAATCTTTTGATGACAGAAATGTTTCTGTCTAGCTCAAGTCTTAAGTTTGACAGAAAACACATGAAAGAAACTTAGTGGCCTATAATTATTTAGTTATTTGTTTTCTGCTGCAATTGACAAAATAGGCATCTCCAGTGCATTGTCACCATTTTTACTTTCACTGCCTGTACATATTCTACCATAAAAGGAAATGAGCCTGGAGAGCGAATACAAGGCAAGCCCATGGATTTGGGTACATTATCTTTCTTTATTCCACTTTCCCTTCAAGTTTCTTATGTGCAGAAGATTGGTTGGAAATGCTGGTTGGACAGAGAAATGTTGCAAAGGCCTGACACTTATTCTAGCCAAGTCAAAGACTCCAAGAAGGGCAACTCCCCATGTTATACCTCTGGGTAAGCTACTCCACTGCTGGTGAATAACTTTTTCCTAAAGTCCAAACAGAATCTTCCAAGGTGCATCTTGGGGCTGTTGTCTCTAATCGTACTGCCAGTACCAGGAGGGATTTGTTTCTGCCACCCGTGCAATTCCCACTCACGCTGCTGCAGGCAGCTATTAGATCACCACTTAGCTGCTGCTCTCCCAGATTAGGGGAGCCCAGGTTCCTCAGCCTCTTCTCAAAGGTCACATACTTGTGGCCCATTGACACTCTTGCCAGTCCTCTGCTAAACTAACTCCAGCTTTCGTCATCCTTCTGGAATCACAGAGTCCAAAAGTGGATGCTGAATTACAGGTATATACAGTATCAACATCATAAAAAGCATAATTTCTATCTGCTTACTTTCATCCTAGCATAGTCCAATCCAGTTTGCTTTCCTGGTGATTGAAGGCTACCATGTTCTCCTATTCACCCGGTATCCACTCAGACCTTTGCAGGTCCTTCATGGCACACCAGCTAGCCAGATTGCATTTTTACTGGTACATGGGGTTATTAATCTAGGTGCAGAATTTTGTATGCCTTGATGAACTTAATGAGATTTATTTTGCCAAATCCTAGAGCATCTCTGGACTGAGACTATACTATTTGATGTGTCAACAACTTTCTCCATTTCAGTATCATCCACAGATTTGCTGAGGGTACAGTCTCATCATAGAATCATAGAAGTCTATTCTATCATCCAGGTTATTGGTGAAGATATTGACTAACAGTGCCCCCAATACTTAGCTAAGACATGCTGCCAAACAGACATCAAGCCATTGATTAACTACCCTTTGAGTCCACTGACCCAACTCATCTAACAGCCTGTTTGTGCAGCACATGCTTCCTTTGTCTACCAGCGAGAACGATACAGGAACTGAAACTTCTTAAAGTCAAGGAAAATTCCATCCATCACCCTTTCCTTGACCACGATCATCATAAAAGGCAATCAGACTGTTTTAAACATGATTTGCAACCTGTAAATAAGTGATAGCCATCCTATGTTATTTTCTTGTCCTTCATGTATTTGCAGATGGCTAGGCACCACCTAACAAAATGTGCTTCATGATCCTTCCACGTAGTGAGCTGAGACTTGTTAGTCTGCAGTTACTGGATCTTCTTTCTGTTTCTCAAAGATGTAAAAGCCCCTTTTTCTACTTGGTTACCCATTCTAGTTGACTGCCATTTCCAGTAGTTGCCCAATATTTTGGTTATCTTCCATCATGCCTTTACTTTTCACCTAGAAGAGTGTGATAGTATTCTCTCTTCAGATACACAGATCCAAAGTCTTTTACTCCTAATTAGTCCTGATTCAGTAATCCTGGAGGAAGGATGGGGAGGTTTTCTGCCAGACAGACTTTAGCATCTCATCCATAGCCATGCCAGACTAAAACAAGTTCCAGAAGCAGACAAGTACTGTGAAAACTGTTGGCTGTAGTAACTCTGACAGACTGAAAAATAAGAGCAAAATTTGTAACTGCTCGGTATAATAGCAATTGGCTAACAGCAACCTCATTTGAGCACTACATAACCCATTCTTTCCAAAAGTTTTGCACCCCTAAGAATAAGATCATTTGAGAAAAGCTATATAGTTACTTCTGGTCTAGAGAGATTTGGAAAGACATTCATGCCAATCACTTGGAAACGTGTTCTCCTGGCTGTGACATTCGGGTTAGCCGGCTTTGGGCCAGCTAAAATGCAGTCTCTTTCTGATACTAATAATGAGTCAAAGTCCTTGGATAATACACTACAAGGCTATGGAGAGTATCCTGAATGTGCAATAGTTCTGTTCGTCACTTGCACATCAATAACTATAAACTTCCAGACAGCACCTTCATTTTGATGTTGAGTTTGAACTACAGCCTATTAAAAGTCGAATGAACCTTCGAACTCAACAGTAAACGCGCATTCCTTTGCCTGAGCCTGAAAAAGTCAGCATTACTGAGAGTAGGAGGCTGAACAGAGCAGCTGAATACATAGCTTAGCCTGATTTCATTCATGATAGGCTTAAGTTAAACTTCTCCAAACAAATCTGTTTTGTAGTGTATGGGCTTTCACACAGTCGTGTCACAGGTTAGGGCTGGGCCTGCCACTAACAAATGACAGATGCTGTCTATTAACCCCTCTCCCTCCCCAGAAAAATAAGGGAGAGAGAGAATAAGGGAGAGAGGCTTACGGATTGGAAAAGAAAACTAAAGCAGCTTTAATGAAACAGTAACAAGAAAAGAAGATAATAAGAAAACGATAAAATATAAACAAATATACAGGAAACCAATGCCAAACTCAACTCCTATGATGATGATACATCACCACTGATGCTGCAGGGCTGGCACTGGGGATGTCCCAGGCTGGACTCTGTGTCAGACAGGAACCGAGTGCAGGAGCTGGATTCCAGAACTGGATTTAGAAACACACGGGCTAGGATCACAGACAGAAGAACAGACGGAGTCCTCAGATGCCAGCTATCAAAGAGAGCTTGACCCTTGTGATCCCTCAGCTTTATACTGAATATGATGTATATGGGATGGAATACTCAGCTGGTCAGTTTTGGGTCACCTATCTAGCTCGCTCCTCCCTGCAGGTGCAACCTTTTACTTCATTACGACCCCTTCACTCACAGCACCTCAAGGAGTACAAGATTTAGCAGTGACTTTGGTTGCTATAGGAGCAAGTATAAGCAAGGCCCTTTTTGCGTACCATCCCTTAGTATTAACTATAAATATTGAGCACTATCACTGCAAGTAGCAGTCACTGTCTGGAAAATCATGTTTTTGATTTCAGAAAGTGCAGTTACTTAGAAGAGACTCAGCTAAGAAGTAAAATCACTGAACAGACTTAGTTCTGATTTAGCTCAAACCAGGACATCATGACAGGAGTGGCTGGGACTGCAGAATCTACAAGGCTAGCTAGATTTGCTGAGACCTTCCTAGGATATAGCTCCAGTCAATAGAGACATGCAGAGATTCTGGTATCTCTTTGTTCCACTTCCCTGAGCCCACACAATTGTGACTGTTATCGCAGTTGTTCTGTCGCAGGCACAGAAGCACCTAGGACCTCTTTGTCAACAAGGAGAGTGTTCAGGCAATTGAATACACGCAGGAGGTTACTCAGATATCAAGCGTGGTGAATTCTCATACAGATGCCATGGAAGCATCATTAAATCCTTGAGGTACTTTTCCATTCCAGATTTTGCGAACAGGGAAAGGAGCAAAACGCTTCATTTTGAGGTTGCAGTAATATGGCACAGCAAGTTAGACCACCCTATGAGCAGCTAGGGCTGGCTTGCTAGTTTGCTGGTAGTGCTGACACAGCTCTGAGTTTTCCCTTTTCGAAGGAAAGAAGGATGGTTATCTGCTTTTATGGATTTATTTCAACTGCCCGTTGTACGAGGTAGTTGTTGATACCCTCACTGGTGTTGTATGGTAAGTTAATGCCTTTTCCACAGCTGAGAGCAGACTCCTTCATTTGCTACATTGGCATCAGCCTAGCTCTGAGAAAGGGGCCTCCAGCTGGGAGAAAGAGGGGGGCTACCTTGTATCAGAAGACTAAATGATCTAATTATTATTTATTACCTGAAAGCCTCCAAAGTAACAAAATTATCAAAACTGTGTTCTACATATCACAGTTAAACCCTTCCAGGAATTAATCAGTGCTCCATGTATTTTATACCTTAAAATGAAGACAAAAAGAACTTAAGTACTTACTCCTCATTAATTGATTTTATATGCTTAATACACAAAATTAAACAAATTTAAAAACCCCCCTTGTATCCACCTCTGCTTTTTGGCCTGTTGCAGCCATGACAATTAAATATATCTCCCCAAAAGACCTTTTAAATAAAAATATTTAAAATAAACACAGTTACCTTTTCTTTGTATCTAATTTTAAAGCAATTATCTTTTACATATTCAGGCTGTTCACATTCCTTTAATGTCCCTGTTCAGAAAAGGTTTTGGAACTGCCTGAAGAAAGCCTATGACTTGGCTCTTCATATATGCACCTGTACCTATTTCTGAATGCTTCCCCAATATTAGCTTTGAAAAAAAAAGTGAGGCGGTATGTTATTTTTAGAGGTCTGTTCCTCTGTATCCAAATGGTTTGCCAGCTACAATATGTGGAGGAATAATTTTGTTCACCAGAGGAATGACACATTATAAAATGCAACCACCTTATACTGGATGAGGAAGTTGGTTAAGAACATACAGCAAAACAGTCTGAAATGGGAAGTAAAAATTAATTAGCATGAAATTATTTTTGCTGCAAGGTAAATATAATAATCACTTGAATTGGAATGTGATCAAGAAACTGAACTCAATTAATGATACAGCAGATTAAACGGTAGAGAGCTCTTAGCACACAAACAGGAAACGAAAGCTACATTCCTCTCTGCTTGTCCTCCTGCTAAGCGTATGGGTTGAGAGCACTAAAAGCACAGTGCCTGACCATAAAGGTGGAAAGAAATCATACAACTCATGTTGAATGGCACTTTGCAGAACATTTCGCTACCTTCACCACTGCAGCAGCATGGCTTATGGGATAAAGTTCAACCAAACTGGGAAGAATTTGCTCCCAGTACCATCTTGGTAGTCCTGAACCTAACGTGACCCACGGAAGCATGCTCAGGGACATACTGCCTACTCAGGTGATGAGAAAGCAAGCAGAAGAAGTTGCAGAAGCTTTTTTTATGGACAATTGTTTTACAACAAAGACTCTACCATGGAAGGACACACTTGCTTTGGTACTTTGTTACACCACTAATTCAACCAATGTAACTGGCTACAGCACAAAGAAGAATCTGGGCAACTGGATTAGTTATCAGGGAAACTATGATAATACAGCAAGATAACAAAAAAAGTGCATCTGACTTTACAGATCATTCTCTAGCCAAAATTATGTAATACAGACCTGTCAAAAGGGTGACCTTGCTGAATTAAGATTTGATTCTTTTTAACAGGTCTGTTTACTACACAGGTATTTACACAGTAACTCGTCCCCAAGGGAAACATGTTGTGATGTTTCTTCCAGGTTGCAAGGCCAATTAGAAGAATGTTATTTTGAAGCAAATCCAAGAAAGTGTAACTTTCCTTGAGATCAATACATTAGTCACAAATGCCATCCTCTCGTTTTCAGAGCCACACTTTTGCATCCTGACAATATTAACTGTCAAATATTGTAAAAGATGACCTGTCAAGCAATACTTCTGTTTTGGAATATATTTCTAACACTGTAAACAGTCTTGCAGATTTCGAGATCCGTTTACTCTGTTTGACCT